GGTAGAAAAACAGTGCAGAATTAATATTGTCTGTTTAGAGTAGCTGAGAAGGATAATAACCGTATCAGCAAAGCACCACTAGATAAAACAACGAGGAATGAGTAGGGCATGAAGGCCAAATGAGATCTAAAATGTCTTTGGCTCCTTAATAAAGGCTTTTATCTGAGGTCTTTTCCATTTCCAGGTAGAACTGACCAGCAATTTCTATGATTTATTAGATAAATCAGAATCCATTCTTCAGTGGGTGACTAGATATATGTTTGAATTCTTCCAAAAAAGTATAAAAGCAGAAGAGGAAAGTACAAGGACTTCCAAGCTTTGAAGGTCAGCTACTTCCCCCTGGAGCATCCTGTAGACTTGCTTAAAGCAACTGACAAAGAAATTACAGGAGAATATGAGACTTTCCAAAGGTCATTTTATTGGATCTATTCCCTCTTAAGTACATTATTAGGAGATTTCTTTTCATCTTGATCCTGCTGTCCCCTTCGGTGGTCATCTCCAATTGGCAGCCCTTCAATCTCTTTCTATAATACGAAAGCTGTGATTTAGTAGAGGTTCTCTAAAGCCCAAAATGGCTCATAAAATGTGGGGTTGCTTTACATCAGAGTCTGCAGATGTTTCATGGTGCACGTGAGTTGAGTCTGGCTTGTGCAGGTGTGAGTCCAGCTTAACAGTTTTCTTAGGCTTCAGAAAAGGACCATTTAGGAATAGAAACCAAAACTGGAAGCCAGAGGGCAAATATTTTCAACATCTGCTACTCTTTGTGTAATATTCCTCTCCTTTCAGAAGTAGGACTCTTAAAATTGGTTTGTATGGCTTTGATTCAATCTCTGAAGTGCATTTCTATAACAAAGAAATACTGTTACTGGGATCTAGTGTCATGGGAAACAAGATTCTCAGATTATAGGGCATAGGCATGCCTCCCTTTCCTGCTCATAGCCATGTAGCTCACTTTTCCCCCTGCAAAGATGACTTGTGGCACTGACAGCAAATTCTGACATAGAAAAATGATGTCAGAGAAGCATTTAATCTCTTTTCACCTGTTCTTTATGAACTCTAAGTCCTGGAAACAAGAACCATACTCATGCTATTAAATATCCCTACCAGCAATCCTATCTATGTAGTACTGGCAAACCACTTCAGTGCAATTCCTTCAAGCGTATTTTTCCCATCCTGCAGTCTCAAGAGCCTGGCTAAGACACATGCTTATTCTTGTTAGATCTCATTCAAGCACATTTGAGACATTGCTACCAGGTCCAGAACACTTTTCCCAGGGCACTGGATATATTTTACTCTCATGAAGAACTAGTATTATTATCTCCATCAAGAAAAAAATGAAAATCTAAACCAAAAAAAGCCCAAAGAAAGTGTTATTTTAAGCATTTACATTTGCAGGAAAGTCCCAGAATTCAGGGAACTTCTTTGTAATAAGGGAAAATAGTAGGAAGAAAGAAGCCTTTATCAATAATAATACATGGAGATTGTTCAAAAGCAAAGCCAAAAGCTGAAAATGCTGATAGGCCATTTTCCAAGTAGGGTGTACGGCCATTTAATAGACCGTAACTTCATACTTTGAGAAGACATAATCATAGAGAAATTCTTTGCTTGGGATCTGATGCCTGAAGAAAGGGTGCCCATTTTTAAATGTACAGAATATCTGAGCAGAAGTGCCTTGTGTACCTCTTCCTATCCTGCTTCCATGCTATCTCTGGCACAATAATATGACCATAATACTAGTAAGAGATCCCACAGAACTGCTGTGCAAGCACTACTTGCCAGGAAACCAAGGTCCTTTCAGTTCTTTTAGCCCCTATCTTGTGTTTCCATGTCTCTCACACCCTCATATCAGTGCTGGAAAGCCACATATTCCAAAAAGAGGAGTATCTCCTGTCATGTTTCCACCCTAGCAGGATTAGTTCTACCCTCTGACCTAGAGGCCATGAAGGGCAAGCTGTAAACATTGACAAGTCCTGCTCATAGATTCAAGGCATTCACTCTGCCTCCATACAGGTTGTGTAGTGCCACATGGTTGCATCCCCTTAATTTGGGACTTGCTTGGGGCTCACTTTTCTAAACCACGTTGTTGTCCCTGGCCTGCCATGGAGCACAAGAACTTGGAGTGGGATGCTGTTTGAAAGGTAATAGCCACACCCAGTTCTCCAATGTATTTCCTTCATTCATGAAGAATATATAGAAAACCCAGAGAAAACTGTATAACTTATTCTTAGAAAGCTCTTAGATATCACTAAATAAGGCATAGACCATTGAACTTTTTAAATAATAGTTAAATGTAAGACCCCATGCGTATTAATTTTTTATTATTATTTTATATAACTGGAGACCATTTTGATGTTCCTTCCTGTTTTTTAAGTATAGATTGTTCCTGACACTTGATAACTCATACAACCAGTATCTGTACAGTAACTGCTTTATCAAGCTGCCTCTGGTATATCCATGCCTCAAGAGTGCATAGAAACAGCCACACAGAGAAGCACCATGGATGAAAAGCTGGGCCATAAAAAAAGCAGTTTGTGCTGAGCAAAATCTGCCTGAGTCCATCCTTAGCTTTGAGCATAAGGATTATTCACTGTATCCCAGTGGCTACATTGATACTGATGAATGCACTGGATCAAGGCTTGTCCTCTGCTCTTGAGACCAATAATTCCTGCACAGCACATATCAATACAGCTGAACTCTCTTCTGTATAAAGTACAGGTTACAGCCAAACCCTGATAAACTCTGTCTGGGGAGTCCTTAGCCCTGCCAAGGACTATGCTGATGATTTAGCAGCATGCAGACCCCCAGACCTGGCCCAGGGCTCAGGTCTCCACTAGTCTTATTCCACTTTCTAATATAAACTACAAATTACAGTAGTGTAGAAGTATAGACATGACCACAGAAAACTTACCAAATGCAATGGTGGGGTGCAAACACATAGAGCTGTTCACAATAGATCCTACAGACCTCTGCAAGCAACTGAAAGAACCCCATGTACTGCCACAGAGATGGATTCAAACTATTAATTGTGTTTTGTTCCTGTACTTAACAGTGGTTAGGTCTATTTTCAGGAGAGAAAAAAACTGCATTCTCCTATATACTTAATGTTTATAATTTATTTTTATGTCTGTAATTAATTGTAGGTACCTCTTTACTTACATGTAACTAAAGGGGAACAAAAAGAGATTAATTTCTAAACAAACTTGCAACAGCTATTGTTTTAGTTAGAAGTCAGAGGAGTCTGAAACAGAGTATTTTTTAATGCAATAAAAGGTGAAAAAATCTAAACAACAATAATGGAGATTTTTCTGTCAATCACAACTTGCAATAAAATTTATTGCTAATGAGAAAAAAGTTTGGAAAAGGCACATTAAGAAAAAGAGTCTTAAGAACATTGTGCAGTGAAATTTGATTTTAAAACTGAAACTTTCTTCTTTGCAAACAAAAATCTGTGCAGAAGGGGGTACAGATATAAATCAACTACAACCAAATCAAGAGCTGTATAGTCAGTACCACAGTACCACCTTGTGGGGAAATAAAAATGGCATCAGTATTGGCTTCTTCCATTGTGCAATTTCAGGAAATACTCACCATATAAGCATAAAATTATAACTAAGACAAATGAAACAGACACAGATATCAGCAATGTATGTGGTGCATGATTTCTTTTTCCAGTGTCAAATTACTCCTTTTGAAGAATCCATGTTCCAGATGAAATCTTTCAGAAGTCTGCTGTAAAAACTTCCTTGAAGAAAAATGTCTCCTTTTACATTTGCTTTCATTCTTTACTTGACTTCCATTTGCCTCAAATTTATTTCTCTAGTTACACTGAATCAAGAGAACAATTGCATCAGGCATGTCAAATTCCACCCACACAAAATGCTTCATAAAGTTAAAGGCTATGACACAAATAAACTAATGCCAGGATCTTTGAGATTACTTTTTTTATTGCTTTTCTGCAACTGATGTAGATATTAGAGACAGTAATATTCCTGACTACATCTGAAGAAATAAGGTTATCAAATCCTCAGATCCCCAAAGGGAATTTTCATCTGGTTTTCTCCATTTCTTTCACATAGTGAAAGAAATTTGTATGATTAAGTAATTGCTGGTTGTCAGGAGTAGTTGGCCACCCATCATATTTTAAGAGGTGTATTAAATGCAATTTTCACCCTTTCAAATATAACTTCTTATAGGCATCTCTGAATTTAATGTCCCTAATAAAGCAGAACAACTAGTTCTTTCTTTCCCAAGTTGTTCGGATGTTGACCAATGGGGCGGGGTGGGGGGGAGGGGGAGGAGAGTATTCTTTTGGGGATTTTGTTGGGTTATTTTATATTTTCCTTCAATATATAAACAAAGTCTAAACTTGCTTGTCTTCTTTGCTGTTGAGAACCTGCCATTGATGGGAACAGTGCAGAAACAAATTCACAAGAAATTAACAAAATTGTCTTCAGGTTTACTCTTCACATAGAGCTATGTTGTGACCTCTAGAGTTTGAGGACCCATCCACATACAGCTATTCTACTAAGACTGATACTGGCTTTAGCTGGGCTGGGGTCAGATCCCAATAGTGGGATTCCCTTCACCTTACTTTCAGTAAGAAATTGGGTAAGCATCCCAATTGCCCATGCATACCAATCTAACATCATCTCAGATTCCCAAGAATATGCTCCCCAGACCTTCAGCTCATGACCTGAATCACGTTTATCAGCCCCATGCAAAGGTCACAGAATGCCTGGGGGCCTTCAAAGTCATTAAATAACTATTAGTAGGAAGCTGAACTAAGCCCTAGAATTCTAACTGAAGTTTGTCACAGGGGCTTGCAGCAGAGAAAAAGATATCTCCAAAGAGTAATTTGAGAATAAATGCCCTATGAAGACACCTGTCTCTCCTTACTGATCAGAGAAAGCACTTTGAAACCATCTAACTTTCAGGGAATCACATTTTGATGACATTAAACTGAAAGTTAATGTATAACAATTTACAGACTTTCTCTCTATTTTTGCATGCTGACAGTATTAACATTGTTGGCTGTTGTTTGGATTGCATATGTCTTACGTATGATTTGTACAATGTGATCTGGCCTATAATGCATACATTATTCCAGGATACCAGTCAGCTCAGATGCCATTAGTGGTGGCAGTACCAGCAACTTACTCTTCATGAGTAGAGACCAATGGACACAAATTGATATTCACAAGAGGGCACATTCCTCCAGGTCTCATAAAGGTAAATGAATTAGACAATGAAATGCTGAGATTATGCCAAAAGTTAGGCCTTAGCAAGTTAACTGGCTCATCACATCTATTACATTGATCTGTTGAAGCAACAGCTACAGTAATGGCCTGAAGAAGGCTGCTTTTACGAAACAGGACTAGAAGCTTCTAGTCTAGAACAAGAAATTCTCTCCTTTCTAGAGAAAACACAAAAAATTATAAACTGTGTACTTCCTTCTATAATTTTATTGGCTTTATTCTTCCACTGATAGAAATGTGTTCTCTTGATTACAGATGATTTTGACTGATCATTTTTTAAAGATACCTTCTAGAAAGAAATACTGTCCTAATGATACATGGCAAAATGTGTTAACAAGTACTTCTGTAAAAGAATCAGATCTTTTTGATTTTTCTTTTACATTACAGAACACTGACTTTCAGCACACATAACATATGACTCACATATCAATTAGAAATATGATTATCTGGTGGCATCCTTGGGTCCTCCATGTGCATTCATAGGCTGTTTTCCAAACACATCCACAAGCAACAAGAAAGCAGAGTCACACAGAGGACGTGGCTGTGCACCCAACAAGGCTGGAGTGGCAGGTCCATGTTCCACATTGTTCCATTGGTTATTGCAAGCCACACAAGAATCATGGTGCCTTCTGTGAGATGTTTCCAGCCTGCTAGCATATTCCTAGGAACATAGTACAGCCAAGGCTGGAAGGAACCTTAAAAGATTATCTAGTCCAACCTTGTGCGGGAAAGGGAAGCTAGATGAATTATCTAGCACCCTGCTCAGTTGTGTCTTGAAAACTTCCAGTGAAGGCAAGTTCACCATGAACCTGGATGTTGTTCTAGACAATGGTTATTCTTAATGTAAAAAAAATATCTCTTGTATCAAGATGAAACCTGGCACAACCAGTACCCATTGTACTTTTTCTTCCCTACGAAGAGAGAGACTCCATCCTCTCTGGAGAAGCCTTTTAAGTACCAGAATACTTGTGATGAGATTCTCTCTTGAGTCTTCTCTTGTTCCTTGTTTCTGTCAGCTTTAGCTGGTATGAAAACAGAAAGCAAGCACACACAGCATTATTCCCATTTCTCCTTTAAATAACAGAACAGATCTTCTAGAAGAAAAACTTTGAAGGTACGTTGCTCATATACAGGAACTTTAATGTACATGCTCTCAGACTACATGTCTTATCCCCATTATGTGATGAAGATCATGAACAGTTTACCCTCTTATTTCCACCGCTCCCATGCTTTGTGATACTCCACCCACTCTTGTGTCTAGTATAGAACACACAAGGCTGTAAACTCCCTTTCCCAATATTGTTTAAAATTCCCTTCACATGCTCTGATTCATGAGTTAGAAGCTTTAAAGCATGAAAGATAATGATACTACTTCTCCAAGAAATAAAATACCAAAATTTCTCCTACTTCCAATTTCACTTCCTTCTTTAGAATACCGTCTTACTCACACAATTCAATGCAATACTTACTTACTCTTAAGAACATGCAGTTAATTTCAATCTATATTCAGGTAAGGAAATACCACAATAAGAATTTGTTACATTATTTACACTTTTAATAGCACATTTTTATTCAACATATGATTAAAAGATACCTCCTTAGGAAATGAATACATTACTTTGCTTTCACAGATCGTTATGACAAATAATTCACTTATCAGGACCATCCAGTGAAGTGACTTGCCCCAGTTGCAAGGAATATTTACAGGTCTCCAATCTGCATGCATTAACAGGGCTCTTGTGCAAGAGTTTCCTTTTACTTGAATATCACTTTCCATCAGTATTGTTCACCTCCATATTATCTTTATCTTTCCAGTCTCTTTAAAGAGGCAACATATATCCTCTCTGTCTTTGTTTCGCAAGATTAAACATGCCAAGTTGTTTTATATTCCCTTCTGTGGTAAGCCCTGTCTTATCTTTACCATCTTTGCAGCTTTTCTCTGCAACTAGTTAGGTCTCAATTCATTTTTCTTGGAAGGCAGGTACTAACACAGTAGAGCCTTTCAGATGAGGCTTGCATAAACCTTTATAACTTTATTGGATATATCAGATGGGATATATAAGCTTGCACATTTTCTAGGTGCATTACATACAAGACTCACAGTCCTCCTAAAACCAGTTAAACCATGCAAGTTGTAATCTTCTTCACCTCCTCTTCGTAACTCTTTCACAGGATAACAAGATGTTATGAGGTCTCAAATTAATTCATGAATGCGTATTCTAATATTTTAAATAGTAGCCACTTTATTTCTCTTATCCTTGGAGTCATCTAATTTCTCCCATTTGATATTCTTTTCCTTCTCTCCATTAACTATGCTGTCTAAACTTGTGTCTTCAGAATCACTGTCATACTCCTAATTTTCTTATCAACACTGTTAATGAAATTACTAAGAGGCTTTCTCTCAAAATTCAATAATGAAAAAAAGATTTTATTAGTAACTTCATTCCAATACTTCCCTTTTGATAGTATCTACTGTCCCCTAACCACTCCCCTACTTTCTTTGCCCACTTTCAGTTCTTCTAATGATTCCTATCATGTCCAGCTTAATTAACAATTTTCCACAAGACAATATATCAAATACATTCAAGATAGACTATTTCTACCCATTCTCCTTGCCTAAAAATATCACTGAATATATAAAAAATGATCTTTTGCTAATCTGAGATAATCAACCTTTGATTAAAAAGATGTGACAGTTCATTCTATTTACTTCCATGCTCTTTAATATTCTCTCCATTACATTTTATTTTAAAGCCTACTGAGAGCAGAGCAATAGACACTTAGATGTCTGGACCTGTTTTTGCATCTTTCTAAAATATCTTTGCTAATTTATAGCTACCTACATTTACACCTCTGTTTAACACATCTTCCATCAGCAATTTCATGTACCATATCTTTCAGACTTCTCAGCTCAAGATCAACCAGTCTACAGTCATCTATCTCTTTCTTCTCCATGTGAAATTTGTTACTACCTTTCTCCCAAGCCAAGTCCAGCTGATGATAGCTGTGCCAGAGAAAATGTGTTTGTTTGGTTACAAGACTGAATCTATACAGTCTCTCACCTTTACTTTGCCCTTACTGCACAGTGGCTGCATTATTTGACTTTCCTGGCTCTCTTTTTGGTTTAGACTACTAGAAAAATCTTGGAGATCTAACACATCTCAGACTAAGAGGCAAAATAAGGTTCAGAAACAAATGTGATCATTTGAGTTTCTGTAATACTCATACAATAGAACTTTTCCTTTTACTAAAGTGAATACAATTCCTTGCATACAACTGAGTTTCCCATTTAGCAAAGCAGCTCACGCATTTATTTTGCAAAGCTTTTTTAAGGGTATTTTTAATATATGCATTTTATCACAAATAATAAGGAACACCCCCACTGAAGGAATTAATAGCTGTTTAGGAGATTTTACATAGTGTGGGGAAGTCTTCCCAGAATGCAAAAGAAGCAATAAAAATACATGAAGCATGCTGGGCATGCTATCTCAATGTATTTGGCAGAAGACACCTTTGTGATGTTTCCCAAGACTTTGCAAACGATTAATGCGGGACATAATTGAAGAACTCATTGAGATTCAAAGTAGAATCACACACAATATTGCAACCTGCTCTTGGGAAATATTAATGTACAAACCAAAGGAGTTGCATGAGAAGAGTGGATTACGCAACAACTTGGCCATGCAGAGAAACAGAAATCTCTCAATATAGTCACAGTGTTCTGTCTTCATGAGGTATTTCCACTGCACCTGCATTGGAACAAGCAGTGGGCTCCTCTTGGATGCCTCCTAGCTGGGATATGAATTTGTGGGGCACGTGTTTCATAGTGTTCTCCATACTACTATGGAGACATGCTCTTTAATCACAAAGGGTTCCCACAAATTGAAATAACGTAACTTCATATTTACAAGACAATATTTAACAGGGACAAAATAGAGTTAGACTTGGCAGAAACATTCCTGTGCTTAATCTAGAAGGGAACATTTTTTGATGTGGACATTACAGTTGCAGATACCATCCAGTATGTTCCACTGTTTTCTAGTTTCAATCTTCAATCACCTAAAGTGAAACATTTTAACCACTTTAAAAAAATGCATATACTAAAAATACAACAAAAGTTGAAGTCTTTTGAAAGAAGAAATCACTTAGCTTTTTTCTAAATTAGTGGAAAATAATGCTTCTTCACCCCTCTTTAAAAATTGTCAGAGTAACTTTAAGGGAGGTAGACAAAGGGTAGCCAGGATAATGTATCTGTGCTTTTGTCTGTATTCATGAAAATGTGTCCAAATTCTAAGTTGTACAATTCCATATTATATTGGATAAATTTTCATTAGGATCTGCAGATATTAGGGCTAAACTTCAGGTGTGTTAAGCTGTCCAGGTGGACTTTGTTTATATTTTGCATCAGACTTACTGCTGTCTCTTCTGAAAAAACAGACCCCTACACTCTAGGACAGGTGTGACAAAGAGCTCCACAGCAGCTGTCTCAGCTTTGAGTGTGCACACTCTGGCTATGGTACCCAGATGTTTCCAACAATCTTCAAGTGATCACCCACCAGGCAGTGTAACTACTTTGCAATGTTAGAGAGAGGCTACTGAGACCCAGAATGTGGATTTCCCAGGTTCCAGGTTTTTCTCCAAAACACAAGAGCAGTTTTTGTCCAAAATAAGCACAACAGATATAGCTTTTCTTTTCCTTTTTCTCCTGTATTTGTTGAATAAATATTTTGGGGATGTACAACCAATACTCAGTCCACAAAATAGCTAATTGTAACTAATTAAGTTTGTGTCAGTCGGGAAAGAAGGAAAAAAAAAAGTAATATCAAAATTACCACAACCTTAAAACCCCTCCTGATCTTCACAGCAGTGACATTTTGATAATGATGATGATTCTGCCTTCACAAAGAAAGAGCTCATTATTTTTGATACATATTTCCACATCAATTTCTGAAAGGAAATGAACCTTACAAGCAACTATAATTGGAATGCTCTCTTCTGCTGTCTTAATACCCATCAACAAAGTATAACAAAGGTAACAGAAAAGTCTCTCCACTGAAAAATAGAAGACTGCAACTGCCATTTACTTGATACATACCCTCAGGAGAGGTCTGTAAAACATAACAAAAAAACCAAATATTCAGTTACATTTACCAGAGATCACCAACTGCCAACCCCTAAAGCACAACCACCCACTTGGCCATCTTTCTAAAAGGTACTGATGTAGTTCATCTTTCCCAATGCATATGTACCCAAAAAATAAATAAAACGTTAAGCTTTTGGCCTGAAAGCATGTTCATGACTACAACTAAGTATCAAGATTATGGATTTCAAGTATCCAGTGATGGATTTTCACACCTTGTTTTCTTTTCATTCATGCATTTTCCTTGGTTTCAGTTGACTTCAGGTGTTCCTTGTCTTGATCTACAAGTGTTTAAAGAACTGAAGCAATTCATTCAGCAGTATGAAGCCAGTATGAACCAGACTGAAAAGTCTGGTTTTTATTGAACTTGCAATTTTCTCAATCCCTCAGAAATCCATTTTCTTCATCTTCCAATAATCAATATATTGCATACTCCAGCAGCTGAGACAGCAGCAGCTGCTTACACAAGTGATACACTTTCCTGTAAGTTGTGAAGTCCGGGTATAAACATGGCTCTTTATGACTGTATCACAGCATGACCAAGACATGCACTAATAGTGGCTTTTGAAAAAATGAAAATCAAACACTTCACTGGGTATAAGGTGGTGCCAGGGTCTGTGTGAACATCCAAACCTATAAACAACCTGGAAAAGCAGGGGTTCTGAATAACCCCACTGCTGGATGAAGCAGGTCTAATATCTGCTTCGGATTTTAATATCTGCTGATATCTACTTCCAGATTTTGTGGTACTTGGACTAACAGAAGATTCTTTAGATCTTTCTACACCAAACCATATCTGAAAATCAAAAATGAACAGCAGAAACTCAGCACAGTCAGCATATGAGTCTGCTCCCCACGTAAACGCAGATTGCTTGGGCAATGTAATTGCATCAACCCAACCAGTCCTGCATACAAGTTTCATCTTGCATGCCACAGAGTCAACATGTACTGTGACTGCTTGGCTGGGATTTCTGGACTGGTGTACATCTGAAAACCCTGTGCAAATTACAAAAGCTGACAGAAAAACACAAGAGGGGAGCAAACAACCCATAATGGCAACCTGCCACAAAGTGCAGCAGCTCTGATAGAGGTACTTTCACTTTGGCTTTTTAACAACAGCTGAGCCACCATAAGATTAGGTCACTTCCCATATTCATCCTTGATTTTTTTTTTTTTTTTTTACTAGTTAACTGTTTAAGTGACTTTCTCAGGCTAGCTCTGTAAACCAGATCTCTCTACATTTTTGAGACTTCCTTGTGAGGTACAGACATTCACTAGCATGCTAGCAGTGGAAGATCTAGGAAAGCTTACTAGATGTACTAAAATTACATACTATTAATAGTATTGTACAATAACATAACTTTTTATATATAGCCTGAAGGCTAAACATATAAAAATGAAGCACAGCTGTTTCAGGGGAACACAGCAGCTCTATTCACTCATCTCAGCACTGATTTCACACCATGGACTGCCCTGAAGCGTCAGTCTCAGACATTTCCCACCGAAACACTAATGGGGTGGGTGCTCCAGCCAAAAACAGGAGCAGGATACAGCCCTGGCAAAGAGCGGGACAGGACTCCCTTGGAGAGGGAGCGGTTAAGGTGTACGTTCATCCCCCATCCCTTTAGTACTACTATCTGTTTACATCAATCGCTCCATTACCCCCACTCCTCAGCTGCCCTCCTACACACAGGTTTCCCCTGAGAAAGCACCGCTGGAGAGCACAAGGCCTGCCCTCGTCCCAAGACGCCGTACAGCACCTGCTGCCCTGGAGAAATACAGGCACACACCCAGGAAAAAGGCATGTGCGTATGTATGTAGGGAACAGGCCCCCGCGCTCGCAGGGCGGTACACGCAGCCCGGGACGGGGCCGCGCCTGGCAGCTGCCCGGACCCCGCCGGGCCCATCCCCGGCGGCAGGAACAGGAAGCGGGGCCGGCCCGGGGCCGCGGCTGCTCCCCCTGGCGGCGGCGGCGGGGCGCGGCGGGGGCGGTGCCGCCGCCAGGCCGTGGCCCCGCCGCGGCCGCCCGAGAGGCCGCTGCTGCCGGCGCTTCCCGCCCGCCCCCGCCTGGCGCTCCCTCCCTCCCTTCCCCGCTCTTTCACTCCGTCCCTCCCTCCTCGGCCGGGGCAGCAGGAAGCGGCTCTGATGTCAGCGGCGGCGGCCGCGGCGCGGCTCTGAGCGGCTCCCCCACCCCCGCCGCGGCCCCTCTCCCGCTGCCGCCGCCGGGGCTGGCGGAGGAGCGCGGCTGCGGCCCCGGGGGCGCCGCCTTCTCTCGCCCGCGGACGCGCGGCCGCGGCGGTCCCGAGCTGCTCGGAGGCCGCGGCCTAGGGCAGTCGGCGCGGCGCCCCGCGGGGGTGCGGGAGGGCTCGGGATGCGCAGCGGCGGCGCCGGGGCCTGTGCCCGCCGCCAGTGAGGCCCGAGGCCGCCGCGGATGCGGCCCCGGCGGCGCCTCGGCCAGGCCCGCCCCGACCTGCGCCAGGAACCGCCGCCGAGCCCCGCGTAGCCCCGGCTCCGGCCCTCGGCCGCCTGGTGCCGGACCCTCGCGTAGCCCCGGCCCCCTCTCCTCCCTGCGGTGAAAGAGGAGGCATGTCTGCTGCCGCCTCCGCTGAAATGATTGAAACCCCCCCGGTCCTCAACTTCGAAGAAATCGACTACAAAGAGATCGAGGTGGAAGAGGTGAGTGAGGGTCCCGCCGTGCCCCTCGCTCCCCGGGCGCGGCCAGCCTGGCCCCGCCACGCAGACCCCGAGCGCCCCCGGGGTTCCCCTCCCTGGCGCCGGCCCTCGGCTGCGGGAGGGTCCGCGGGGGCTTCGCGGGTGCTCCGGGATGCCAGACCCCCCCAGTACCTGACCGGGGGTTCTCTGCTCCTGTGGATGCTACTGCGGCTGGCACCAGCGAACAAAGCGGTCTGGCTGGCTGAGAGCGGAGGTGCCAGCTTACTTCTGCCGGACCTGCTGCTGGATGCCTTACTGTGGAGTTTTGTTTAAACGGGATAGATTTATTCAGTCAGGACTTTAAAGTTTCGCCTCCCATTTTGCCACCCACTTTAGTATGGGTGGCAAGCATAGTTGTCAAGAGGGAACTGTTAACTCTAATGTTTCTTTTAGATCTCTATTTCTCTATGGCCCTGCTTTCACCTTCTGCCACCAAACTGAGCCATTGTGTATATAACGATCATGCTGCTCTTAATGATTTGCTAAATTTACAGCTCTGTGAGCTGTTACGATAAACAGGGTTTTTTTTTCTTAACATGGGCTAGTTATGTTGCACTCATGGATATTTAAGGAAGTCACATTCAGTAATTTTATAACAAAGTTGGAAGTTTTTCTTCTGTGAAATTCACATAGTGAAATTATTTCAGGTGTACCTTTCATCTGTCGGGTTCATGTGAAAGTAGGGGGGGTGTGATCTAGGGTAGCTCATATGCTTTGATAACAGGCTCAGTAGTCTCTATATACTACAGTGTTGTTTGACTCTCAGAAGTACACAAAAATATTTCTGCTGTTTTTTCCTGTCACCTACTGAATTCTCTACAGGAATAAAGTCTCTTCATGTAGATCTATAACAAATTTGATGAGTCCAGCTTGTAGAGTCTGGACTGCTGAAACAGTCCCTGTGCTTTTTTTATAGATTAACATTTTTCTCTTTAAGAGATAATTACCCTGTTTTCCTTAAAAAGTTTGTGTGGAAGTGGAGTTTTGTGTAGTAGCTTTTCTAGGTATGATAACCTGTGTCTCAGGTTTTTAGAGTAGTTTGCTAGATACTGGTTTGTTTATAATTATCCTACTAGGCTTGGGTCTCCTGAGGATAATTCAGGGACCTTAAAATCTGCCATGGGGCACCAGGGCACCTTCTGCTGTATTCAGGCAGTGTTGTGATAACTTCGGCTTTCACCATAGCAGGCACTGCGTGCTGGGAATTTTCAGAAGACAGTATATTTCAAAATACTGCCTTTATCTTTTTCTGTGAATTTGGCAACCATAAAGACTTTTGTTTTTGTAAGTCAAGTTGTTCTACCTGCCTTTATGCATTTAACTATTCTGAAGTGAAGTAATTTTGTTGGTTTTGTAACACTTAGTAATAGCTGGGGATCAAATAGCCTATTTTGGGAGAAATAGCATTTCTCACCCAATGAAGAAAGTTTAAGCTGGTTATCCATTGTAAAAAGGTGCCCAGTGATGACTCACGGAAGTGAGTGCCACATCTGCTGTGTTAGACGTAGCCCTTTGAATTAATAAAGTGCTATACAAATCTTTAATCCTCACAACACACTTGGGGAGGTTGTTAGCAAGGATTGTATTGCTGTTTTACATGTAGGAAACGTGGACCTGCATAGTGTGTAATTGGTGTAACTAGAGTTTAGTATTCTAAGGTTTAGTGCTCAGAGATTGACTGTCCCACACATGTGCCTGGTACTGGCAGAAACAGGATTGTCAGTACAAAAATGTATCTAGAGACAATGCCTAAGTAGAAATTTGTTTAATGCAGTTGTTTTGTTATTCTCAACACAGTATCTTCGTAGAGATACAAAACTCATGTGATATAAGCAAGAGAAGAGAACTTTGATAGTGTCTCCATAAAAAAATCTTGTTAAAGCTGGCATATCGTTTTGAGTGTACCTGTCCTCCCAGAAGTTCTTATAGACAATGGGAATACCCTAGTGTTGAACACAGCCAAATGTCATTGCACAGAGGAAGAAATAAGACCTACTTTACAAGAAAACAGATGGATTGGAAATCATACTTAGGTCTTGCTTTTCTGAGCTATGGGTGTTGACCTCTTACTCAGGATGCAGTTTCAGCACAAATAGTCAACTTTGTAGTCACATCAAAATACACATCCTTGCTGAGGATTTTCTGTGCTCTCACTTTAGGCTCAGAGGTTTTCAAGGATTTTAAGTGGCTGTATGTCTCAAAAACATCTCAAAATTGTCATATTTATGCTTGGCAAACTTCAAATGTTTCAAAATGGAGTGTTAAGAGATCTACACTGGAAACTCAACTGCTTTTATAATCATAGCTTTGCTGTTGTATTATCAAGGCTGTCTTGTCAGCAGATAGCAGTCCCACTCTGCCACTGGTTTATTAATAGATGTTGAAGTTCTGGAATACTTGCAGGCCCAGAGACCTTGCTAATAAACGTGAAATCTATAAGTACACTTTTCATTTAGTTTTGTCTGAACTCTACTGAGATAAAAACAAGAATTAACATATTTTCCTTTAGCTACTGTGCACATGACCAGCTGTAGTGTTACTTCCCACCAGTCAAACATATCTCCACCATCATAATGCCTTTTTGTTATTTCAAGTGCTTAAAATGAAGTAAACCATAGAGACAATTGTTATGAAGGAGTTGGAGTAAAATCAAAATCGATGTGACACGGCAGGAGCATCTTCAAAACTAAAACAGGGGAAACAACACAAAATTTAGTTCAACAGAAGTGCTCTCTATTTTACTATGCATGTGTTTGATTATGAAAATGGCCATTTTAAGTTTTTAGCATTGGATAGATAAATCATTAGAAACTGAAAAATTAAAATCTAAGTGAAATCAAGTCAACAATAAAAAGCCTAATAGCCTTGTTTTAAAGTGTCATATTTAAATCTAGAACAACACTCCAGTTGTTTCTTCCCAGGGGAGTTTCCACATCTAAGCAACAAACAGACTTTGGTTTTTAATTTTTCTGGCAGCCAACTCCATGCCACTCTTTCCTGAAAATTCCACAGGCTTTCCTCACCAGGTATCTGGGTAACAGTCCCATACATGACCAAAACATAGACCTCTTCATCACATGATGTATGTGTGCTTGGATTGCACAGCCAAAGGTACATGTCTGGTCATGAATATTGCAACCCTGCCCAGTCACTGCCTGATGGAGACAAGTTAAAAAAGTAATCCCATATTTGCATAGTTGCAAGTTACTTTTGGATGGTCTGAAATGTAAATTATTTGAAAACGGTTGTTTAATGCTCTACTGGTATATTGCAGTTTACAGTGAAGTTTATTTTCAACAATCTGTTGAAATTCTAAGAGAATTAGGATAACATCTTCTTTTGAGATGAAGAGGTGAGCTTATAATTGTATTTTTTTTTTAGAAAATTTACTTAGGGTCCCAGCAACTAAGAGGATGCAATTTATAGTATATCCACCTATCTTAGATATTTTTGAAATAGTTGATTAATTTCATTAACTGAGTAGTGTGCTGAGAACTACATTTCTTCCTTCCAATTCTGGAGTAAAGCAGTTCATAGGCAAGAGAATGAGCAATACAGTAGGCAACTGGGTTTTGCTCCCCTTTATATAGTTAACTTTTAAAAAGTTAGTGAGCTGCAGTGTCTGATTATGTCAGTTACAAGGTAAAGCAGATTTGTGTGAGCTGCTGTTGAACATGGAGCTATTAGTGCCTCCATTGTTTCTGTGTCCTGGGGGATAATCCCCGCTTGTAGAATACCAATCTGAAAAATTGGAAGAAATTTGGAGAAGAACCAGATGTGATTTGAGATCTGAACAGTGTTACTTGATATCTGACATGAGTACAGAAAGATTGGTTCTCAAGGACCAAGGGTGGTAGTTAGAAATCCATTTGAATTCAGTCAGATTTCTCAGCCTTTTTCAGTAAGACTTCAAGGTGCAAATCTGGGTATTCAAAAACAAAGGCAAAAAATAAGTACATGATGCAAACATATGCCAGTATTTTCGCTGATTTTACTCTACATACATTTCTGAATTAATTCAAATAACTACTTCAATGTAGTTTAGTTACACAATAGAAGATTCTCTTCATTCATTTATATAAGAAAATAGCTGAAGTGTCACACTGGGATGTGAATTTGTAGCAGAAGTTACACAACACCTATTCCATGTGGAAGAAATTTACTGTGCAGTGAGTTAGAAGGTAGCTAATAAGCTAGTTAAAATCTTA